CCCCTGCAGGCAAAACCGTTGACGTTAGGTCAAATCTGAGAAAATTACTCAGAAAGGGCGTTAATAGGGCTATCGAATGCGCTTTTCCGCGGCGCTGTAGCTCTATTGGTTCCCGAGTTATGCGCTGGCTTCTTGGAAATTGTCGACATTCGACCTGGAAATCGGCGAAATTTTGCCTTCAATGACCTCTGGTGACCTGACCTTTGACCTGACCAAAAAATTGACCGAAGTGATTTCGTCATTATTTTTGACGCTCTTTCGAACGCCGCCTTCCGCGTATCGCTACGTGGCCCAGGAGCCGAGTTACAAGGGGGGGGGGGTGTTCAAACACCCCCCCCCAGCAGGGCGTGGAAATCCAGGACCCCCAGCAGGGCGCGGGTTAATATACTACAATCGCTGTTCGTCAGGAATCGAGGGAACTTTCTTCGTATTACAGATATACTCATTTTGGAGGACGAATGGGTGTCTGACTTCGCTCGGTTGAGTTCAGTGAAGTCTAGTCTGGGATTTGAGCATTTTCCTGTACCTATATAACTAAGACGTTAAAACCTCGCGGGGCCGGGGGAGGGGTGGGGATGGGGGTGTTTAGACACCCTCATGCTGTTTTTGGCACACCGGTCATGCATTTTTTCTTCGCACATATGAAATTTCAGACCCAGGTCGCTGAAGATCAGGTCACCAGGGCCTCGTTTCATAAAGCGAGTCCGTAACTTACGCCGGTTTTGGGGCTTGTATTGCAAGCGCATGTGAAGCGATAATATTATTTGCTCTTCTCCCTTCTGTTCTTGCTTGCAAGATAAATAAATTCAACGATTCACACTATCGTCATCGCTTCATATGCACTTGCAGTACAAGACCAAAAACCGGCGTAAGCTACGGACTCGCTTTGTGAAACGAGGCCCTGGTCACGCCAAGTAACCTCACCTCAGAAAAAGGATAGCATGCTCGTCATAACTACACCGAACAAACTATCGCCTTGAAAGCTTCAACGATAGTTAGATAACAATAACAGTATGCATAAAATTTACATCTCAAAATAACGATATGTGACCTAAGGTCAGGTCAAATTTGCAAACTTCCCATTATAACCCGCGCTCTGATGGGGTCTGCCGAGCAACGCGATCTGATGAGGGGGTGGTCCATTTTGCCCCCCCCCCCCCAAGATCTCGAGAATCACGCAACATAGCGACAAACAGCAAACGGCGTTAGAAAGCCCCAACGAGGAACTATATTGTGACCCAAATCCCAATTTCATTGACCTCGGTCTAACCGATGACGTCACAGGTCAGGTCGAATGTCGAATTTGCACCGTTTACATGTATTTCAAGAAATGCGTTGTAAAATAGAGTAAAATGCATGTCATTGAAAATTATCCATCGGGAATTGTCCATAAAAACATATTTTGCTATCTGAGGTCACTGATACCAGGTCAGGTCACAAAGGTCAGGTCACTGAAGGTCAAAATATGAAAATATCATGTGATGCATGTTTTATGATCCATTTTGCATGACAAATGCGATTATGTGGGTCAGGGAGCCTCCGGGACCAGTTTAGGTTATGTTCTCGTGAGGGTCAGGTCAAGGTCAGGTCAAATAAGGTCAATTTTCAAACTTGATATTTTGCATAAAATGGGTATCGATTCGATGCAACTCGTCACGGGGAGTCTAAAGTGGTCTTTGTTTTGCGTTACGTGGTCTAGAAATTGCTTAAAATTGAATTCGAATATTTGACTTCATCAAACAGTTTTTTTTTTCGGTACACCGTGGCCAAAAAAGGAGGTATCGATCTAAAATTTGGTATGTATGTAGATTGTAGATAGAAGAGGGTAGGGACTATGATTTTTCGAAATTCGAAAAAAAAAATTTTGGGATTTTTTTTGCTATTTGAAAAAAAAAATCAAACCAATTTTATGGGGGTCAAAATTTTTGCTCATTTTTGCTCGAAGATGATCTCAGTTTGACCTCAATAACTCCTGACCTAAGATGATCTATGACTTGAAATTTTCTATGAAGGTGTCAAATTGATGTCTCAAAAGGTAGGTACTGAAAATTTGTCGGCGCTGCGCGCCGCCGTTTTTCACTATTCACGAAAAACTACAGGGGGGGGGGGCAAAATCCCCCCATCGGGGCGCGGGATAAGTCAATGGGAGAAAACTAAAAAGCGTCTCTTTTCGACGAACGCCAATCTACACATTACAATCTCAAGCACCGGGATACGACCCAACTTGACATCGGCACTGAATAGAAAAATTGCACCTATGACCACTCCTTACGTTCCCGAGGTCATCTCAGTTCATGAAGGTCTTAAGCAGCTTTTTTTGGCAATAACTTTTGATAGGTATGTTAGGGCGATGCAAACACCTTGACCTCAGTTGTGTTCAGCTCGACAGTACGGATCGACTGATAACTAGCATGTCCTGCTCCAGTCAGGCCATACCTTGGCCTGAGGTTAACCTTCGCCCCAGTGGGGGGGGGGGGCATGGTTACCACCCTGTCGCCAGGGCTGCGGAGTCGGAGTCGGGAGTTGGAGTCGATCGGAGTCGACATTTCTGCCCGGAGCCGGAGCCGGAGTCGGTTTTTGAAAGCCGGAGTCGGAGTCGGAATCGCCGTAAATTCATCGACTCCGCAGCCCTGCCTGTCGCGTTTTTTGCGTGTGAATAAAAAAACGCTTGGGGTAGCTTTTGGTACATCAATTTTGGACAATGTGTGATTTTTTTTTACCCCAGGTCATGTCAGGTCAGGTCACCAGGTCAAGTTAACTGACCAAGCCTAAAAAAGTTTGCAATCATGTCCAGCCTGCAGTGTTTGTCAGAAAGGTTTTAAACTTGGTGGATTGCATGATGATATAGACGCCTACAATTTGTATATCTCGGATTTTTTTTTTATATCCGTGACCTAAGGTCAGGTCAGTGGCGTGACCTTTCCATTACAAGTCAATGGAGAAAAATGAAAATGCCTCTAGATCCGTGTGTACTCATAGGAACAGTCCAAATATTTCAGAATCACAATGATTTGGACCACCCGTGATGTACAAGGTGTCATTTTTGCTGATAGCCTCTAGAAAGGTCATCCGAGGTCATTTGAGGCTACAAACAGATTTTTGCCAATAACTCGCGATTGGAAAGAGATAGAACGCTGGGGCCTGGGGATGATCTCATTGTGTTTGTCTTGTTGAGACGCATCGACTGATATGCAACATGACCTTTTCCGGTCAGGTCATGACCTTCACCTGAGGTCGAATTTTGAAGTTGACCTTTCAAGGTCAAATTATAGTTCATTCGTCGCGTCTCGGCGAGAGGAACACGATTCTGGCAATAGAAATGTCGTGGCTTTTTTAAGCCAAAAGTTATTGTCGAAAAACACTTTTCGTAAAAACAGCTATTTTTGGAGTTTTTGCCCTCTGGAGGCTAAACCGTTGACCTGAGGTAAATTTTGATTATGACCTTATCGCAAGAGTTCAAAAGCTATCGATTCCCTTTTCCATGCGTAATTCCTGAGATAAATGCATGTTTTCTCAAAAATATTATGAATTTTGGCAAACTTTAACCTTTGATGACCTCTAGTGACCCCAATATTGCTCTAAGATGAAAAATGACCGAAATACTTTCAAACGTACGCATTGAGAGCTATCGACTGCTTTTTACCGCGTTTTTCTAGCCCTCTTCGTTTTTGAGTTGGAGGTGGGTGGTAACATATGCCCCCCCCCCCCCCCACTAGGGCGAAGTTGGCTGAGACCGCCACTGGGGCGCGGGTTAACCCGCGCCCTGGTGCGGGTGGGGGCATATATCCCCTCCAGACTTTTCGATATATCTCCAGAACCGCTGCGCCGATCGTCACCAAACTTTCAGTACCCCCGGGCATCAATTTTACACATTGTCACCAAAAAAATCCAAAGACTATGATAGGATGGCCGCAAATGACGTCATGTTCTGCCGTTTTCGACCCTAAAAAGGTTTCCCGGGAAGAGCTATCAGGCCTATACCGTTGAAGATACTGAGAAAAACGTCTGAGACATGAAAGGTGTAGAATTACAAGGGCTACAAAATGACTATCTCGAATTTTCTTTTTCAATTTTGACCAGTGTCCCAAAATTGAGTTTTGTCTTGGGTGTCAGAGGGGAAATTACCCACCAAAAAGAGGGGAGAGAGTGAAAAACTGCTGAGTCGATTAGATCCAAAAAGAGTGAAAAACGTAGGATGCTTGATGCTGAACTGGGCATCCACCCAACTGCTCTTTCTTTAGGTAAAAAATCTAGGTTTTTTTTTTTGGTGGGAGAGGAAAATTGTTCTTAAAAATTGGTGGTGTGAGTGGGAAAATGAATTTCATTTGGATGTCGTTTCCCAGCCAAATCGACAAATTTTGGGACATTGATTTTGACACCCAAAAATTTATTTTTTAATATAATTGCCAAAAAATCCAAAACGTTTTTCGACTTTAGGAAAAAAAACGAATATATGTGATAGCCCTTACCGACTTCTATTCATATACCAAATTTTAGATCGATACCTCTCTTTTTGGCCAAGTTAGAGCGAAAAAAACTTCAAAATTGATTATATCAAATTTTCACTCAATTTCTAGCAATCCTAGACCACGGTTGAACAAAGACCACCATTAGACTCGCCGTGACGAGCTGCATCGGATCAATACCCATTTTATGCAAAAATATCACCTTTGAAATTTGACCTGACATTGACCTGACCTCCACCAGGAAGTGACCTAAGCCGTTCCTGATAGTCTTATAATCAACACCATTGAGTTTGAAATGAAAAATTGGTCATAAAGCATGCATCACACAGCCCTAGTAAAATTGGGCTCATGTGCTGACCCTTGGTGACCTGACCTGGTGTTATCAATATCAGTGGACAGTGACCTCTAATAGCAACATAGCACTAGTCCGTTGGTCTTCCTATACGACAGCTACATAGGCCATTACGCTAATGAATAAAATGATCCAATAAGATACCAGGAGGTATGTCTTACTATATGCCATTGTAAACGTACCTGCCCTCGTCAGCACCAGAGCCGCATGGAGAACGATAAACGCCAACCACCACCGCATTGCATCGATGTCAGTCGTCCTGGAACACAGATAAATCGTGTAAGACACCACCACTGCAATCTGTATTGCATCAGAATTACACAATGCACAATGCACGTAGGTATCATGTGGGACACACATCAAATCAGGATCAGTCGTCCTGGAACATAGACAGTACACACGCACAGTTCAAACTCCAAGATAAGCGTAAAATATATCTGAAGGTGTAGCCAAAGCTAGGTGCCGGAGGGGGATTTAAATCCCGCGCACCGACGAGGGTCTGCGCCAACTTACAACCGACGGGGGGGGGGGCGGATGACCGCCCCCCCCCCCCTGAGACATAGGCGGCGGAACGGGGAGGGCACCGGGGCACCGTGCCCCCTTTGATTTTGGCATTTTGGCATTATCCCTATGGGCTTTGCATGGAAAGAATGGGACCAAAAGTCGGCAGTGCCCCCCCCCCCCCCCCTCCTTAATTGAAGGTGTTCCGCCGCTACTGCCCTGAGATCTCGAGAACGAAACAAGATAGCGACAAGCGGTAAACGGCATGGGGTACGCACGGATAAGGTCTACAATTTTTACACAGGTCATTTTCAGGTCAGGTCAAAGATGACGTCACAGGGATCAAAAAAGTAAAAATGGTGGCGCTAGATATGGAGTTTTTCTCGAATAACGTTTGAATAAGTCAAGCTAGGAAAAAAACTAAGGGCATCATCGTGATCCTCTCGCCAATCCACATTAAATCATATATATGTTGACCTCAAAAGGTCAAGGTCAAAGGTTGACTTCAGGTCACGTGACTTCGAGGTAATCATGTATATCATTCGATGCGCCTTGACGAGCTTAACACAATGAGACCATCCGCGCGGCTATATCTAGTTCCTGTAAGGAGTTATTGGCAAAAAAAAAAAAAAACGTTGGGCGTTGGTGAACTGATATGACGTCACATGACCTTACAGCTGGCCAACAGCAAACCAGGCCTCAAGGTAGTGAAGGTTGATGGTATATGAAGTCATGTTTGGTATATGGGGCCATTCCGACGCGTTTTAGTGGGTAAAAAAACAGGGAGCTGATTTTTTCCCCATTGACTTCCTATAAAGGCTGAAACAGACTCTTTCCGCGTTCAGAAAATCGCATGCGAGAGCCTATTCAAATACATTACAATTCTTCTCGCATCAATCGCTTGCGGGAGGTGCGTGCGGTTGATGCGAGCGTGCTTCCATGTACTTGAATAGCAGGGCTTGAATAGGCTCTCGCATGTGATTTTCTGACTGCGGAAAGAGTCTGTTTCAGGCTTAAGTCAATTGGGAAAATGAAAACTGCTATTCTGGCGCCGGGAACGAGCTCCAACTATCTCAAGCACACAGAATCGTGATTTTGCACTCCTTGCAAGGTTACATGCGTCACTTTTGCAATGTTGACCTTGCGTGACGTCATTTATGACGTCATTAGAGTCATGTTAGTTTTTTGTCAATAACTCCCGATCAAATTAGGCTAGCGAGTCGGGAAAGCCACCAATGAACCCAGGAAGGCCTGCCGAATCGAATGATATGCTAAATGACCTCCTTCGACCAAGTTCGTGACCTGGGGGCGCTGACCTGACCGTGACCTGAGGTCAACACCCTAAGTTGACCTCACCCAAACAAAAGGTATAGCATTCGACGCGCCTGAGCGAGGCGAACACAATGCTGCCAAATTCGCGGCTCTGCGGCCGTTTTTTGCGAAGTTATTAACCCGCGCACCGACGGGGGTCTGCGCCAACTTCGCACCGACGGGGGGGGGGCGGATGACCGCCCCCCCCCCCCTGAGATCTCGAGAACGAAGCAAGATAGCGACAAGCGGTAAACGGCATCGGATACGCACGGCCAAGATCTACAATTTTTACTAAGGTCATTTTCAGGTCAGGCCAAAGATGACGTCACAGGGGTCGAAAAAGTCAAAATGGCGGCGCTAGATATGGAGAGAGTTTTTCTCGAATAACTTTCGAATTAGTCAAGATAGGAACAAACTAAGGGCATCATCGTGATCCTCTCGTCAATCCGCATCGAATGATATATATGTTGAAAGGTCAAGGTCAAAGGTTGACCTCAGGTCACGTGACCTCGAGGTCATCATGTATATCATTCGATGCGTCTTGACGAGCTGAACACAATGAGACCATCCACGCGTCTGTATCTTGTTCCTGTACGGAGTTATTGGCCAAAAACCTTTGGTGACCTTTGATGACGTCACATGACCTCACAGCTGCCCAACAGCAAAACAGACCTCAAGGTAGTGAAGGTTTATCGTATATGAAGTCATGTATGGTATATGGGGCCATTCCGACCCGTTTTAGTGGTAAAAACAGGGAGTTGATTTTTCCCCTATTGACTTATAATGGGGAGGTCGCGAAATTGACCTGACCTTAGGTCACCGATATCAAAATTCCGAGATATACAAATTGTAGCTACTAATGACCTAATAATATCCTGCGACTTTCAAAGGCCTCCGACATCTACTGTAGCTCTGGCACGGTGACAAAGTTGCAAAAAAGTGACTTGAGGTTGGGTCATTCAAAGTGACCTGGTGACCTGACCTTAAAAGGTAGGAGGTTCAAACTTGCATACCATGTGTAAAATTGATGAGGTTATAGTCATACCAAATTTCGCGGCGCTACGCGCCGCGGTTTTCCCGCTATTCGCGAAAAACCTCAGGGGGGGGGGGGCGGATATCCGCCCCCCCGTCGGTGCGAGGGTTAACCAAAAAAGAACCCTAACTTGGGGCACTTGACCTGACCTGAGAGGTCACCGGTTGACCTAGGACCTTAAAATCGAGTATCGATCTCTGCGTCTCGTAACGGCGCACACGCTCGTCTTTTCCGCGACGCGCTAGCTCCACCAGGGGCGAAACGGCGAGGGGGGAGGGTCGTACCCGCCCCCCCCCCCCCAACTCGGCCGGCGCGTATGTAGAAAACCAAGGTATTAGCATATAGGGTGTCCCCAAAAAATGTACCTCATTTGAAATTAAGATATCTCAGTGTCTGAGCATACATTGATCCTAAATTTGGTACCACATGAAAGCTCATTCCATAGCATTTTGTTTGATAAAAACTATTTTACTGTACGTTACGTGACAGCCGAGTGATAAAGAAAGAGCAAAACCTTTGCAATTTCGCTCTTCAACTATTTCCACGGGCATTTCTGGGAAAAAGCTTTCAATTGTTTTGCCGATATTTTCAGCAACTCAGAACAAAACACAAAAAATCATTAGAAATATTGAAACTAGGTTTCACTCATGCATTGCTAACATAACAAAAATACACATCGCATCACATCCCAGTTAAAGGTTCAGCCGTGCTAACGCTCGAAGTGCCTCCCTTTCGCTCGGCACACATTGACATGGCGGAGCGTCTTTAGGACTCTTGGGCTACGCGGACACATGTTTCAAGCGGGATTTTCCGGATGCATATCCGGATCGAGTTCCTCAGCTGGTCCAGAGTTTGAGGATTTTTTGCGTATACCACACTCTTGACGAACCCCTACAGATAAAAGTCAAGAGGCGATAGGTCTGGGGAGTGTGGCGGCCAGCTAACGTTGGCACGCTGGGATATGATCCGATCACCCATGCGCTCGTTGAGCCAGACCATCGTTGATCTCGGAAGTGTGTGGAGGAGCCCCGTCCTGCTGTAGCCATTGGAGGCTGATGGTGTCCACACACTTTTTGCACACTTGTGGGAGGAGCTTTTTTGTTTTGAAGTGGGCCTTTAATTTCCGCTGTGTTTGCACCACAGAGCCGGTTTGGAGGTATAATTTTGCAACTTGAATCCTTTCCTCCTTGTTCAGTTGCCCCATTGTTCAAAATGAAAGATGTGGAGCATTAACTGCCGTTAACTGCCATTAAATTAGCTGTAATAAAATATATGATATTAATACATACTTTGCGGCAGGGTATATTGAATTAGGCTTTGCGGTGCGTTCACTGGGGATTCGAAGTTGTCGAATTTGGGAGAGCCAGTGCGTTATTGCCACGAGCGTGCTCTAATGAAATTCAGCGTGCGTTAATATATAGTAATTATCACGTGCGTATTTTCTGAGATGTCTTCAGTTGACATGAGACACAATTTAGAAACACTTGTGGCAGGAATTCAAGTGCGAAATTGCAAAGGTTTTGCTCTTTCGTTATCACTCGGCTGTCACGTAACGTACAGTAAAATAGTTTATATCAAACAAAATGCTATGGAATGAGCTTTCATATGGTACCAAATTTAGGATCATTGTATGCTCAGACACTGAGATATCTTAATTTCAAATGAGGTACATTTTTTTGGGACACCCTGTATATTAGGTCCGGCGAGGGTTAAAACGACCTCAACCCCCTGTTCCGACGGCGTTCCGTTTACACCGGCAAAAATCGGGCATGCCGGAGCTTCCGGGACAAAACGGATTTAAGCCAAACCAAATGCTGACTTGGCATAGATATAGGTATACAACAGCTATCAGCTCATCAGCAGCCAACAAATGTCCGGTTGAAGTTAACCCGCGCCGGGCCGGGGGGTGTTTGAACACCCCCCCTGCGGTTTTTCGCAGATATCTCAAAAACGGCGTCGTGGAGCGCCACCGTTTTTGGCACACCTGTTCAGTGTTCATGCATCTTTTCCACACATGTTGTGAAAATTTCAGACCCAGGGCAGGGCTCTAAAGGTCAGGTCATCAGGTCAGGTCAAGTGACATCACCTCAGAAAGTTTCAATCCTCGTCATAGCTATACCGACTAAACGATCGCCTTGAAACTTTCAGCGATTGATAGTAACGGTATGTACAAAATGTTTATCTCGGAATTTTGATATCGGTGACCTAAGGTAAGGTCAATTTTGCGACCTCTCCATTATAAGTCAACGGGAGAAAATTGAAATGCGCCTCTTTTGGACGAATGATGTTCAAAACCCTCTCAAGCATCAATTCATAGGTAAACATTACACGGAATCGGAAAAATGTACCTGTGACCCCTCTGTGTGCCCCTGAGGTCATCTCTGGTCAGGAATGGTCACCAGCAGTTTTTCGGCTATAACTTTTGATAAAGACGTGCTAGGGCGATGAAAACACGTCAGATGTATTCATCTCGACGATACGGATCGACTGATATGCAACATGACCCTTTCCGGTCAGGTCATGACTCATGACCTTGACCTGAGGTCAAATTTTCAAAATGACCTTTTAAGGTCAACAAATAGTTCATTCGACGCGTCTCGATGAGAGGAACACGATGCTACCAAAAGTAATGTTGTGGCTCTCTTGAGTCAAAAGTTATTGACGCAAACCATGTTCGTGAAAACTGTTATTTTTACAGTTTTTGACCTCTGGAGGCTAAACCGTTGACCTGTCAAATCTGAGAACATAATACAGAAAGGTGTGTAAAAGGGCTATCGAATGCGCTTTTCCACGGCGCTGCAGCTCTATTGGTTCCCGAGTTAGCCGTTGGCAGTTTTGAAGTGTTTCCGTAATCCATCATTATTTTTGACGCTCTTTCGAATGCCGCTTACCGCGTGTCGCTACGTGGCCCAGGAGCCGAGTAAGACTCCCCCCGGCCCGGCGCGGAAGTCGCGGAGCACCGGCCCGGCGCGGGTTAAAGCATATCACACATCACCGTACTGCATAGTGCACACGGACCCACCTGATAGACGTCAGTCGTCACTCATCTAAAAAAGTTGGCCTCGAGCTCAGAAATCCACTGTACCGGACAGCTGCCACGAATCAGGATCTTCTCGCAACTCTTCAGTTAGAAATCAATGACCCACAACACCATCACAGTGAATGAGTCAATGGAAATGAATGGACATTTGAACGTCCTCGTTCTTCAATTGAATCAAGCAGCGCACGCGCTGAAAATCACGTGCACGTATTGTTGCTGGCGGTTGCCATGCCGACCGGCCCCGAGTCTTTCCGCTCCAGCTGACTCGCCTTGACAACAAACGACTGCCATCTACGCATCAGCTGATGGCTCGCGGTGCTGCGCTGCACGCTAACGACATCTGCCGACCTTATTCGGAACAATAGGTAGGTACGGTTCTCCAGTAAAAGTCTTGTTGGTTTTGCTTTTTCGGACATATCTGGTCCTATATAATGTTCAAATACATAAGTATCAACCCAAATTATGTGTATGCACATTTACCACGAGGCTGTGAAATTGCATCGTTGTATGCCAAATACTTTCCGAGATATCCACAAAAAAACTCATTTTCTGCCGTTTGGGGCATTCTGGCCGCAATCTTCCTGGGATCGCCTATGACATCTATGGTGCCACCTAGCGAGAGGGACGCGGAAACACAGAATCATGAATGAATCGAGCGCGTAGTAAACGGTGTATGGAAGGGAGACTCGGCAGAGGCTATCCGGGTGGCCGGCGCGCGGCGCGCCCTTAGGCATCGGCCGACCCTTCGGACCGCGTGGGGTCAGAGGTAGCGCTCGGGAAGTCTCGGCCGTGGGTTTTAGCCCTGTGCAGTCAGGAAGGGAGGGGAGGATAGCGCTAGCCCGACTGACTAGTGTCTCGGCTGATTCGTGTGGGGTGGAAGGGATCACAGAACGGGATGGTGGCTAGTGGTGGATGATGGGATGGTGGTTAGGTTAGTGCGCACTGCGTAGAACGTAGCTGAACATGCTTTTTTCATGGCAAACAACATGCAGCATAATAAGCGGGATTATGCCAGAACTCATACAAAAAGGAGCTAATATTTCGGCCGAGGGAGTGGATGAGTGCCGTGACAAAGCATGACGATGCTGCCAAAATCGGGATGTTTTTTGCCCCCATTTTTTTTTTTTTTGTAACCCTAACATGCAGCGCTTGATCGGATCTTAAAGGTCCCCGACTGACCTTAGACCTTAAAATCGCACCCGTCCGGTGCGCCACCTTTTCTTCAGGGGCGCTCTTCTTGGTTGTATCTGTTCTTACCAATAACTAAAGCAAATCGAATGTATAATAAAAAGGCATAGGGGAGAACGGGGTCAATTGTAACATTTTTTGCATTTTATCATCTGGTGCAAACACGTTTGCAGCTATAAAGCTCTTTCTTTTATTTTCAGAAGCTATGATGTTTTGTCTTTAAAATGCAGTTAAAACATTTCCGAAATAACTTCTTTTTCGGGTCAAAATTGTCGTTCGAAAAAGTCAATTCAGCTGTTACAATTCACCCCAGATACGGGGTCAAAAGTAACACCACCCGGGGACAATTGTAACATGTTCATTTACAGGCTACAGCAACACAACTTTTTCCAAAACTTTGATTTAACAAAAGTATTGAACACTTGTTCATCTTCCTAGACTTGGTAGGGACGGTTCTTCTCAGGAAAAAGGCATAAAACCTCGCACTTATACAGGGGTTGGATGGACCTCCTCTGCCTTGGTTTTTCGCAAATAAATCCCGTAAAAAGCTGCCGATTGCGACAAAACTTACAGTTCTCTTAATTCTAGCAATGTTTCATCTCCCTTGAAAATTTGACGACTTTGACATAATGGCCACTGACCTATAACCTGTTACATTTGACCCCTGCAAAAATGTTACAATTGTCCCCGTCGCGCCTTGACATATTTTAGACGAAACTGGCGCAAAAAGATGTTGCATGTAGGCAGCATTTAATGCTTTCAATTTATCGACAACAAGCCTGCCAACGCTTACACAAAGTCTGAAGTCGATATCTTTTCAATGGCGGGAATGAGCTAATCAAATATAACGGCATAAAAATCTACAAAATGCTCTCAAAAACACATTACTGTGCACAGCCATCGACATACCCGGCACTTTCGCTTCAAACTCCGTTGGGAAAGGCAGTATAGACTTACGCATTTTCGGTCTGAACATCAGCTCATTCTATTGGTAAGTTTATGAATTATTAACACTGTTACAATTGCCCCGTGTTACATTTGACCCCGCTCTCCCCTACCTCAAACACAGTTTTATTCACATCTGCTCGTGTGCATACTTGTTTTGACCTATACCTTCTCGCATCATAATAATCACTTCAGTGCTTAACCCTCAACGGAATTTTGGGTTTTCTGCATATACCCCGGCCGAGGGGGGGGGGGCGATTACGACCCCTCTCCGTCTTTTTGCCCCTAATTGAGCTAGCGCCTTGCGGATAAAACTGAGCGCGTGCGTCGTATGAGATGCAGCAACTGGTACCCGAGTTGAATGTCTCAGGTCCACCGATAAACTCTGAGGTCAGTATAAGTGCTCCAAGTCGCGGGATCGGTTTTTGGTAAACAACTTCACCATAAGTGGTTACAGAGCCAAGGAAATGGCACCATCGAGTTTTGCATGCTCAAGCGCATCGAATAGTATACACTTTGTTTTGGTTGAGGTCAATTTAAGGTGTTTAGGGGAAGCCGGGGGAAGCCCGGGCGCGGGGGAAGCCCGGCCACCCCGTTTCCGGCTAAATTATTCACAATAAAATGCTCAACTGTTTGTCCTTTCAGCGTGGCAGCTAAGGTAACGCCAGCAAAAAAGTTAAGGCTGACAAAAATTGCATATTGTTAAAGTTATAGCGCAAAAATGATATTTTAAGGGTTTTTAGCTAAAAAGTGAGATATCTTTCACTGTTAATGCTATACCATACAGTACTAATATTTATACGAATGTTATGTAAGGACCGTTTAAGTATTTGTACTGAGGGGTGACGAGGCAGGCTGGCTTAAGTATGACATTTTTTTCGAATATCGCTGTTCTAAAATAAAAATTAGCACATTGGGGTAACCCCGGGCGAGTGGCCAAGCCTACCCCCAACCGAGAGCAATGCCACTAAACCACTGTTTTCCATGAGATAATAGGTACTGAGCAGGTTTGGTTTACACCTACAGGGTGGACCAAAAAGGATGGAAACATTTTAAACTCGTATAAAACATGCAATATTGCATGCAGGTGACTGAAAATGATACCAAACGAGAGTACATTTTGTGGAAATTCATTATGACATCATGCTCAGCTGCTTTCTCTCGTTTTCAGTCTCTCACAGCAAATGTTCAAGGAGACCACCTTTGCGAGACAGGCACAGGTCGGCCCGCCTGGCGGCTGACGCGATAGCCCGACGACACATGTCCTCTGGTATGACTCGCACAGCCTTGGTGATCTCTCTCTCTCTCTTCAGGTCACTAAAGCTTACAGAACCTTCTTTATAGACCTGACCGGTGACCCTTGAGATGACCCTACAGGAAAAAATCCGTAGGGTCAGCCTCAGGTCGGTTGAGCAGACAGGCCAGTTCCACTTCGGTTCGAGGGTGGGAGCGACGTGGCTGACCTACCAAGCGACGCTAAAGAAGTTCTTGAAGTGAGATCAAGCGACGCAGGGCATTATCTTGGACCTCATGTGGTTCCAGCAAGGCGGTGTGTCTCCTCACATAGCAAAACAATGCTCAAGTGGATCGAGAACCACTCTGGTGACCGGCTGATATCCCGCGGTGCCAGTCGGAACTGGCCCGTCTGCTCACTTGACTTGACCCCTATATATTTTTTCCTGTAGCGTCATCTCAAGGGCCAGGTCTACAAAGAAGGTCCAGCAAGCTTCTGTGGCCTGAAGAGAGCGATCATCAAGGCTGTGCGAGTCATACCAGAGGACATGTGTCGTCGGGCTATCGGGTTAGTCGTCAGGCGGGCCGCTCTGTGCCTGTCTCGCGAAGGCGGTCTCCTCGAACATCTACTGCGACAGACTGAAAACGAGAGAAAGCAGCTGAGCATGATGTCATTATGAATTTCCACAAAATATACTCTCGTTTGGTATCATTTTCAGTCACCTGCATGCAATATTGCATGTTTTATGCGAGTTTAAAATGTTTCCATCCTTTTTGGCCCACCCTGTAGATCAAAGATAAATTTCGAAAATAAACATGTTATCATAGACAAAGCCAGTCATGTCACATAAGGTCAACCAGGGTCAAACTACGTTTTTGCAGATAACGCGACAGACAATGAAGCTAGAGCTTCAAAAATGGTGTCGTTGTGTTCTTCTTCATCAGCCGAGTCGAATGATGTGCAATATGATGCATTAAGGTATAAAGAAAAATAAATTTTAAGGAATTTTGAAATACACATTTTTTGTCAATTTTGCATCAGGATTTTCATCGACCTGTACTGTATATGTAGTAGACGCTAGCTAAAATACCAGTAGTGACATAAACTCTTAGATGTCCAGAGCTAATCAGTACCTTAATATTTCACTTTCCGTTAATATTTGGAAAACACATAATGGTTTCATCAATTCGTTGTAAAGCGCTGGGGAGGTGGCCGGCGTTACCCCTATGCCGGGCTTACCCCAGAAAAATCAACACTTTTTTAAAATTCGATTTTCTCAACCTTATACTTATTCCACGAAACCGAATTTTTGGGAAAACACGGCCAATGAACTTAGCTAGCTAGCAGGATATCAACATTTTATACAGCACGTATGGTATGTAATAAAAATGAAAAAGAGCTTACTATGCCGGGCTTCCCCCGGCTTCCCCTACCTCAGGTCATGTCAGGACAGAGCCACTCAGGCAGGCCACGAGGCTGGCTCAAGGAGGTCATATCGGTTCTTCGATTCGGTAGGTCCTTACAAGTCCACTGGTGGCTTCCCGACTCGCTAGCTCAATTTGTTCGGGACTTTTTGGTGAAATCTCCTGTGACCTTAGTGACGTCATAAATGAAGTCGCCCAAATTTAAGAATGTAATAGTGAATGCTGGGGCTTGCAAAGATTGTATAAAACCGCGAATTCATGCGCTTGAGACAGCTTTAGATGGCTCCCGGCACCAAAATAACAGTTTTCATTTTTCCCAATTGATTAATAATCGTGAGGCTGCGTGACCGACCTGACTTCAGGTGACTCTTAAGAAAAATACGAGATAGCTACATATTAATAGTACTAGATCTAATAATACAAGTTGTGAGGCCTCTGGGAGATAGTACTAGATCATATAAGCTTTATTCCCCGTTGAAAAGTCCCCTGGCACGAAGGGTGCTGCGACGTCGCGACATTTTGGGACCTTACAGAGGTTCACTTTTGACGTCATTGGTTAACGGCCTGACCTTAACCTTCGCACTTGTAGGAGGGTGACGAACAGACCTCCTACCCTCAGTTTTTCGCAAATAACTTGCGCAAAAAGCGGCTGATTGCGACGAAACTTTCAGTACCCTCGAGTTAATCAATATTAAGCCTACCCTATAATTTGCATGACCCTGACTCAAAAGACCTTTGACTTGTGACCTGTTTTCCGAGACCATGTTTGGCCGGAATCGCGTTTTGGCGTATTTCGAGTAGAGCGCGTTTTATTGTCTTTTTGTGGCTTTAAGCGATCGAACATGTGAAAGGATGTTGATCCCATGGATTCTAGTGGGTATCAAGGTCACGTGAAGGTCAGTCAGGTCACTGACCTTTGATGACCTTTGTTCACTCTTTCGAGTTCTACATGTTCCCCTGAGCTGACCCGACCTGGCCTAAATGCATGAAAACATCATCTGTGATCAAAACTAACTTGAATTTCGTGATCAGCACCCCGCAAAACCCTATAACAGCTTCACTTTACGAAGCTCTAACAGGTCCCGATTCCCCGACTTTTGAGTTATATTGACCTGTCAACCAATGACCTAGGACCTTAAAAGTTGGTATCATCGGCCTCCTCTCGTCACGGGCAATACGCTCTTTTTCCGCGAAGCTCTAGCTCGATTAGGGGCTGAACGGCAAAGGGGTCCAACGAACCCTCCTCCCCCCCCCTTTACGATAGATGCTGGCAAAACACCAATATGGGCGAGGGTGAAAATACAGCTGCTGTCATAAAAATTCAGCTTGAATCAAAGGTCACGCTTGCCAAATTTCAGCTCTCGCAGCTATCAACAGTCAACACAAATAAACATGTGGACTGTGGAGGCGGCACCCCCCTCCCCGCCCCCCCCCCCTCTCCTCTCGGCCACTGCCAGCGAGGTTTTAAAGGAAATAGTTCACTTTTAACATGGGGTTTGGAACTGGAATAGCAGTTTTGTTGCTTGCGCTGAGACTAGCACAAATCAGAAGCTTTTACGGCCCAACGATCACCCTAGACGAAGATATTCCATTTTTCGTTCCGAAAAGAGTGCCTTGCAGAGGAATGCGTGCCTTGCTGAGGAATGCAGTCACGTCATCGTCAGCCAATCAGAATGCTGCTTACAGCCGATGGGTTTGTCCTACGCAATATGATTGGTCAACGCGTAATAAGCTTCCGCGTCAAACATTATTTTATATAGAATATAGTTCTTCTTATACTAAAATATAGAAAATAATCCTTTTTACAAAAACGTTTTGTTTTATTTTCGGATCATTTTGAGCATAAAAAAACATAAATCCATAGCAAAATACTAATTTCAGGAAAGTGAACTATTTCCTTTAAGCGTATCATACATGTTACAAAGCATCATATCAAGATGACACACCCCAGCAGCCATATGCGCTGAACAAAAACTTATTACCCACGCTAGTCTATCGGCACCATAGCACATGGTCGAGACTGTCGTCAACCACGGACGCGCACTCGACCAACCCTCTGAGCCCGTTGACTGCGGGTGACCTTGACATGTCAAGCCTGATCGGCGGCCGGCCGCTGTCGTGCGGTCGTTACACGCGGAGGGGAGGGAGACACAAAGTTCTACGTTATAGCTGACCTCTGACCTTTACCTGCGCCCTGGTCACTGACCCCCCTCCATGTCGCTGGGCGGTGGCATGGCGGTGGAAACCGGTTCTAGCCTCTACACATGCCACCATTCTAACCTTCCCCTCCCCACGCTACTACGCGGCGTGGAGTACGCTCGTGCGTAACTGGGCGGAGCAAGGGGTCACGCGATACAGGGGCGGAACTGGTTGCCCTCCCGCTCGCCGAGCGACCAACGACTAATACCCTGGAGAACCGTACGTACGTTTTCTGTTTGGTTTCTTGTATGCTGAGGGCTGAGCATCAGCATGAGATCACTGATCTGGACTGCCGACCGGTGTTAATTGTTATAGCAATAGCATCACAACTCACGGGACGTGCAAGTGACTGCTTAGTCTGGATGGCCGTCGAAACTCGAAGATGTAAATTATTTTCTATAAGGATTGGGATGAGGACCAATGTCTGCCCTTCCTTCCGGTCCAAATCTGTCGACAATGGCTCTGCAAGGCCCGGCCGATCTGAAATGAAATGTTATTAGATTTGGGCCGACTTAACGGCTCCTCCGTACCGTCGTTTCCATCTTCAGGATAGTCAAATCCTTCTCCTCCACGCCTCGACCCCTATTGCGGGCTGGACGGGCACGGGGCAACTTTATCTCCTGGGCCATGCAGCAAGCTTCCATAGGAGCACGCCCGTAGCCGATACGGTGAACAGTTCCAATAACCATTCAAAAAATATTCATGTTAAAACCTTTGCTATGCCTGGTGGCTGATAGACACCAAACTGCCCACTGGTGATTGGTGAAAGCTGATATTCGAAATTGAAAGCAGATTAATTAGTCTGCTTGTATCGATTGATCGACGTTGATTGAAGAAAGCCTTCGCAGTTCGCGCAGTGTTCGATTCTACTATTCGTGACGTTCAGGCTCCAATCAAGCGGCTTTACGGTCTGGTCGATGCGGCACTGACTGGCCACCGACCAGCAAAAGATCGATCGCTGCGAATCCCATATCTTTTAATTCGGTTTATATGTTCAATCAGCGTCAATTTCCTTCAAATCACTGTCAGCAGGTTGCTATTCTGGTCGATAAGTTCCTTATTCACTCAAGTCATTTATAGAACGTGGCCTATTCGCTCTAAAATAAAGATATGTCGACAATTTCAATCATATTTGGCTGTTTGGGTTGTAACTACAAATGCATTTCAGTGGAATGCTAAGCCTCACACATCTGGATATATTTTATTTCCCGACATTAAGATTTAAGAATAGCTACACACAACAGCATACCGATAAAAAACTATACCAGAAACACAAGTCCAGAGGACGTATTGTAAAAGTCGAGTAGCATGCAAGTGTTGAAGCAAGCACACAAAGCCGCTCAATTCCAGCATATATCCGATCATTCTTAGGTGTTGTTTTTATCCGCTGGGACTGAGAGCGTGAGATGATTGCAAGCTCTTTAACGAGCTTGCAAAAAGATGACTGATGTCATCACTGTCAACCGTGGAAGCCGTATGGCTACCCATCTACCCATCTCCATCTACGCTGGAGTACGAAAAACATCATCTCACAAATATCCGATCATTTTTCACCCTATTCTTAGCCGCTTATTCATGTTGGAATCGAAGTGCTGCCGTTCTTCGCCCTGCCCCCCCCCCCCCCCCGCTCGAGAATACTTACGACTAAACATGACTTAAACGCGCTAACATTTCTACCATTTATTGCACAAAAATGTACATTTTGTCACATGCGTAACACAACAAAGCCGCTCTTCGAAAACCGATTTGTTGGATTCGAATGGGTCAACATAGGGTAAAATCACACCGGTCACTTTACCAGTTACCACCCGCCCCAGAAGTATGGACTGCGGCGAGTGGGACACCGCGCGGCAACGCATCGTATAAGTAGAGGGGGCCTTGTGGAATGTGGGACACATGCGTATCACATCAGCTCGGCTCCGGGCACGGCCTAGTTCACAGAGCGGCCGCCGCGCGGCGCTGGCGTCGCGCTCCGGTGACGGCGGCCAGCCACAGCACGTATTAACAACCAACAACAGTGCCGTCCGCGACGGACGGTGACACGACAGTGACGAGCAGCGGCGCAGCGAGCGCGCGCGCGCGGCCGCCCTAGCTGTTGTTCTTGAGCTCGGCGTTGGCAGCGAGGAACGCGTCCGGCCGCCGGTGGTCGCTCAGCGCGGTCTGCGTGCTCGGATCGTGGGGCAGTTCGGACTTTTTCCGCAGCAGCGGCTTCGGCTTGCCGCCAGGCACGCTGTTGGCCATCTGGGGACGAGACAAGGGCGTCAGGGTGTCGTTCAGCCTACGTGTGCCGCCAATAACGGACCGAAGAAACCCTCCAATTTAATGGAGTGGCTTCAGGGTCGACAAATAAATATCATTGGCCGCTTCCAATCCAATAGCAAGTGGACAATACGTAGAATACAATAACAAAAAACGTCCAAGTGCAATTCCTGAAACATCATACTGTGTAGGCGGCACTTCAAATGAAAGAACGCGCAATCATTCATCAGGAATCACAGGAAAAATGCGCACAAAACCTGCCTGCTAGCGTATGTTTAGATTGCACTCGCAGTTCTGGATATCAGTGCAGGTCAGGCTTCTCGCTCGGGTCGGGTTCAGACTCACAGTGCACAATTCCAGCGGCCAGCACAGGAAATAATGTCCATATCGGGATCATCGGACCGCGCCGCCGCTGGGGCCGGCGCCGGGGCCTCCGGCGCGACGGGCGTCGTCCGACGGGCGGACCGAGGGGCGGGGGGTGCCCGGAGTCTGGTGGAGCAGGATACACGGGGAGGGAGAGGATCAGGGTTACGTGAGAGGGGGAGGAGTTAATGCTGACTGCAGAGGTGAAGGAAACTATGTGCAGCTGGTACGATTGACTGGACACAAAAACGCAACAGACACCGCATAACTCGTAACAAAAGGCCCAAAATTCGACAAACTTAGAAGCGACATGATAAAACAGAAACCACATCAAGCTGAAGAAGATCAGCAACAAATACACATCCCTCACTCTTAAACTAGGGAGCATAACTGAAAACAGAAAACGCTCAAGACCATTGCACAGGAACAAAATAACATGTCTGTTAGTGCCCCAGGGCGCCTATCCGCACTCTTCCCTCCCCCTAACTATCGCCGCCCTCCTCGAACTCCCCCAGACACTCACCTCCTTAGCATTATTCCGTATATTATCGGCGTCCAGTCTGCCCTCGTCGTCTTCCGCGGCCGGCGCTCCCCCGGCGGCGGCGGCGGCGGCTCCTGAGGAGGACGACGGAGGCTCCAGGTCCAGCTCGGACGCCAGCGCCGGGTAGTCGGGGTTCTTTTTGGCCATCTCGACCACCCGGCGCCAGGCCTCCTCCTGCTGGCGCTGCTTCTCCTTCTCCCTGGACGGAGGAGCAGAGCGTGGAGGTTTTGGTCAGTCTGGATCGGCCAATATCTGAGGTGGCGGGGGCATGAATGTGACGAGAAAATTTAAAAGCAGACGAAAGTTTAGGTGTATGTGAAAATGGGACCGATGTATGATATCAAATGTGGGAACAGTATGATTATGTGCGAGGAAATGTAAGAAAAAGTTTGTAGGAATATATCAACGTGCACACTTCAACTGCTAGCCCTGCTAGTTTGACTATGGAGACTGCTACACAAATTTCCGACAGCATCCATAATACAATCCATATAATTCTAGATGCCAGTTCAATTGGATCAGAACAGAAAAGATATCCTTAATCAGCTAATATTCCATTACCAAACGATCGATAACCGAAGCTTTGTTGTCAATAGTTAAAACACTTTTCTTTATAATTGTGTTTTTCTATTGAAAAACAAATCTGAGTTCCCTGACAATTTGGCAATAAGCAAAGGTTGATGAAGCTGACGATTACAAACTGTACAAATTTTGTACTGACTTTTGTTTCTCCAGTTTATTTTGCTGCGTGCAGTCATCGAACAGTCGCTGGTTCATCTCCATAAACAGCTTCAGCGCGTTGTAGATGAGGCCATGAATCGTCCTGAAACACAACACGCACAAATAACTAAACACGCTTAAGAATGGAGGCAGACACACAGCCACACAAATACCATTTCTTACTAACAGGCTGGAAAAATCGAGCTAAGGTAAAACGACATTTGTGCACAATGCACATACACACAGATTCCGGCGATTAGGGACACATATCTGCACTACCACTCAGCCTAACGAGTATCTATTGCCAGTATATCCCACCCGTCTGGTCCCCGCTAGCTCTATGGGGCCGGTCCGTCTCTCATTGTGCCGCCCTCGCCAACCAGTATCGTGCTCCGCCCGGGGAGCCACCGCTCGCTGCTATTGAGACGCACACAGTCCATTGTGCCCGCGTAACATCCGGCCGCAAATGAACGCGCCCAGCGGAGTGCAGAAACAAACTGGGAATACCCATAGGGGAGAGTGGGGTAATTTGGCCGCTTTTTTTAGAAAACGATATAACTTAAAATTGACGACACATTTCTGCATTTTCTCAACGCTGGCAGGTGTCGCATTCATTTTACTTTACTGGACAGTGAACTTGAAATGATAGAGTAATTACTTATATTGAAATTGTGACGTATTACAAAGGTCTGCAAGGCGGCCAAATTGCCCCACTAGCAGGGTTATTTGGCCGGGGGTGTGGGGCAATTTGGCCGGTGTTAGTTTGCGGTCGGGATTTTCTGTTATATTGCGAGTCAGCTTCAGATTCAGCAATGACGTGTGTCCTATGACGCATTTGCTGCATTTTGGAGGTTGGCTCAGGGGTCACAGGGGTCAAAATAGCCAAATTAGCGGCTCTAGATGCGATCACCGTTTTTTACGAATAACTTTTGAAGTAATCAAGCTAGGCCAAAACTTTGAGTACCATCGTAATTCTCTCGTCAGTCCGCATCGAAAAATATATGTGTTGACCTTGAGAAGTCAAGGTCAAAGGTTGACCTCAGGTCACGTTGCATCAGGTCGCTTAACCTCAAGGTCACGTGATTTCAAGGTCATCATGCATATCATTCGATGCGCCTTGGCGAGCTGAACAGAATGAGACCATTTGTGCGGCTGTACCATTTTTTTGTAAGGATTTATTAGCAAAAAACGTTTGGTAACCTTTGATGACGTCACATGCTCTTACAGTTGACCAATCGGAAGTAAGGCATCAAAGTAGTCAAAGTTGGTCATGAATCATGTCATTTATGGTACAATTGACCATGAAAACTCGGCCGTCCCAGCATAGTGACCATGAGCGCACCGGCCAAGTTGCCCCACTAGTCCCGGCCAAATTACCCCATATTGCCATTCTGAAAATTTATGTCTATAAAGTCATCACGGCTGTACGGAATTAGATAAAATTGCTCTTGGAACCGCTGAACACCCCCAAGAATGGCGCTATAATGTCTGAATTCGTTTTTAGCCCAAATACTACATGTTATACAACTTTGTAAACAGAAGTAAAAGTTACCATTTTCTAATGAAATTAACGTTTTATTAATTTTGAATAAAACTACGAGGGGCAAAGTTTTGACATTTGTCCTCCAGTTATTTCTACCCATGACAAATGAATAGAGACTAGAGTTATTTCACTCACTTTTATAAGACATCGTACAGGTGGGGGCGGCCAATTTACACCACCGGCCAAATTACCCCACTCTCCCCTACACGGGCATGAGCGGCGTCATATGAGGAGTAGAGTTGCAAAGTTTCCCCCAAAGGCTGCTACCGGCACCGCCCCGCCCCACAATTTTTTGGGGGATACCGGCATGCTACCACGCCCAAAGCAAAAACACCACCAAATTACCGGCATACTAAAAAACCTGCATTGTTGATTCCAGTTTACCCCTACAACAGATGCCACATTTTCCTCTTAGTGTCCAAAGTTTGAATCATATGCTAATAATTTTTTTTTTTGTGCAAAACCAAAAATACCGGCATGCTACCGGCAAGACATGCCAGATACCACAAAAAACCTGCGGTAGTGAAAAATTACCGGCATGCCGGTAATGCGGTAGGGAAACTTTGCAACTCTAATGAGGAGCAATGAAATAATAAGGCGGGGGCAGGCGACAGAACATTCATATACAGGAACCTCGCTCCCACTAATATGACAAAATAGCTAATAATTTTTAGAATATTTGTGCTGTTCAGCGCATACCATAAAAACGCATAATGCAAGCTCCATTTCCTCCATACGCCTCAAAGATAGCAGCTACCCGGCCAATTCAACAATAAAAAACCGCCTCATACAGATTGATGCCCACAATTGTTACTAAAATGAGGCGAAACCGACCCTCCGTAATCATAAAAAACACTCGATCAATATGCTGGTTGCTGTGCCCACTTTCGGGACTCACTTGTTCCAGTGTGACTTTGAGTTTTTGTAGAGCACCGGGTACATGATGGGCAGGATGACGCTGGCGTTCTCCGTCATCAGTGACATGATGTACTCGTTGTTCCAGTAGTAGAGCGCCCGCTCCGCCACCTGGGGGTACGACAACGTCACACGTTCAGTCGTCCGTACACAACTCAGTAAGTAGTGAGGGATGTGTCGGATACAGTGAGTAGAGTAAAAAATATGCAAGCTTATAGAATGCTCGTTTATTTTGATCATCTTCAACATACTGCTGACTGTATTTCGGATAAAATACACAATCTAGACATTAGAAAATCGGTTAACACTGCCGCCAGAATAGTTCCCGGTCGCTGCCACATGTGTCTATATAGTCATTTTCCCAGGCTTCATCATTAGCGCCCGGTCCCTACAGCCGCATGGCTGTTTTACTCCTCATATATCCTTGATTTGTTTACTGCAGTAAAGCAAGAGCTATGATTAAATTCCCTAGTAAACCGTTTTGCCCGTTTTGGAGTAGCGCACTCGAAGACTCGGTAAACCAGACAATCCTGAACGCCCGGTTGATAGCAGACTAACTAGCAGGGGCGGCTGGAAACTTTGCGGTAAACACTGTGGTAAACGCGACGGCAAAGTTCGATGTAAGTTCGGCACCAGGCAGCCGTGCACAACACACGTGCGCATATTATGCGTAAACATGAATATTTCACATTAGACACTCGCTAAGGCGTATTAGCATAAAGAAATGAATGACTAAATGAATGAATAAAAGAAGAGTATCGATTCTGACTCAAACACTGCCTGTCATAAATGTTCTACATGTCTATGTCCTCTTACAGCATCACTCTCATGTCTTCAATATTTCAGTCCATCATTATCATCCCATTCACACTCATTCTCAAACCTACACAAAGTTCTCCAAGCATAACGTGCTTTCATCGCCCACGGTTTTCACCGCAAAAATACTGTCTGGTCGCACCGTAATTTAACAACACCCTCACTATCCTAAAAAAATGCAGCTCCCTCATGTGGGGTGTAGTTTTTTCACTTCACCACACTCACCAAACTCATTTCCCACGACTCATCCCTTCTCACCTCTCACTCTTCACAAATTCTCACCTGGAAGTGAGGTGACGAGATGCAGCGCGCCAGCTGCCTGAACAGCGGCGTGATCACCTTCTGGAACTCGGCCGGCTCCATCACGTCCAGGATCTCCTCCAGCTCGTTGAGGAACATCACCTCCTTGGGACTGTGCGTCTTGGGCCAGTACTTGAGCAGCGCTAGTATCACCGGCTCCGTCAACGACGGGTCCTTCTCCAGAAACTGACGGACAGAATACATGGGCGACGTTAGATGAGATTAGATGAAATAAGGCAGTGGGTCGACTTCGTTTGAGGGATTCGATATCGTTGGAGAGCGAAGTGCGAGCCGGCGGGATCGTCACGGCCGGGTTTTATGGGTCAGTCGGTCGGAAGGACGGGATATAGCCGAGCCCTAGCTCTCAAAGATGAGCTGTAAAACACTAGGGAGCGGCACCGGACACGGGTCACCGCGCAGAGGGTCGCCTTGAGTGGCTCTCACTTCAACCAACCGACCGACCGACCGACTCCCGCCGGGCCCAGCCGACAAAACTCCCCACCGCCCTCCCACGCCTCCCGAGATGCCGCGCCGCCCACGCGCTCCCGCTGCCCTCGGCTTCAGCCGACGGCGTGTCGAACCGGCCTGGAATAGCGGGCTGTGTCCCGGCGGGCCGGTCTCCGGTCAGCCGGTCGGCCGAGCGGCCCTGTTCAACTGGCCAACACGGCCGGCGGCCGTGCATTGATTTTCGCCGCTCGAGATGAGCACTCGCCACGATTGCCGCCCTGTGCCGTCCCGGCCCAAGGAGGAGACTATGGATAGCTAAAACTATGGCAGCGTCTTGGCGGTCCGGCCGGCAGCGGTCGGCATCGTACAAAAGCGTCATAAGGATAGGGAGTTGCCAACAGCCAGCGGGCGTTGACGCCACAGAGTCGCCCGTCTTATTTTGAAGCCAGACTAGGGGACGAAAGAATACGATAGAGCGTATAATAGAACAATAGATGGGAAGCCGCAAGGGACTTGTCTTGATTAGTACCGAAGCACTCCAATTATGCTAACGCATTGCATCAATAATGTAGGTTAGAAAGAGACTGAGAGGACTAAAAAAGAACGATGCCTTATGGCAGGATTGCTTGACAGCAACTTGTTGGCTATTTTATTTGCTAGCGTTTCATGTGTGGTAAAATGATTAAATTCGAAGCCTTCAAAGCATTCTTATTCATTCCCAACGAAAAACAGCGTCGCCATTCAGCTCAGCGAATTTCGCGCACCACCCACCACTAACGGCTCGCGTATTTTTCACGGCGGGTCGTTCTTTTTGCAGCGCCGTCCCGGCCAGATTGCTCACATTCCTGGGTGGGATTTTATCGCCTGCTCGGTGTCACCGCGCTAGGTGGCCGCCGGAACCGGGTCACCCACCTGCACAATGCAGTAGGCCAGCTGCGGGTGGTAGACTGAGAGCGACTTGACCTTGTGCAGCGGCATCAGCACCTTCAGCAGGAACGACTTGTGCTCCTCCTTCAGCGGCAGCGCGAAGCCGTTGATGATGCTGCCCAGGATTTCCAGCAGCTCCGCGATGCCGTTGTGCCTCTCGGTCTCGTATATAAACCTGGCAGATACGGGAAGCGACAGGAAGAGTGGCGCGTGTTAGGGTAGTTAGAGCACGACTGAGCGGATCGGGACGGTTACGATTTCCCAAAATCACTCCAATAATAGCCTCGTCAACATTACTGCTGAAAGGTCATCCAAACACTTCACGATGAAACGTGGTTTAAACATAGAAACCCCGGTTCACTACATATAACCGCTCTACGCTCAATCAGCTACGGCAAACAATGTACTCCAAATCTGATAGTTCCCAAAACAAGTAACCACCCACGCATCCAGCCCGGTTCCGGCTCAATAAGCCGTGATTGCATCGCTCCATCCATACCACCACCAGCAATAACTCGGCGCACCAACTTGGCGCCAACTTCTGCAGCGCTCACTAACAATGCGCGACGAAGGTCGATAGACACTGAACACACATCTCCCGCATCAGCCCCGGAGACGAGAGTGAATAGCGCGGGCGAACAAACCGTCCGCCGGGTTTGTATTCAGTTCGACACGCCCGGTAAGTTTGCGCCTGTCAGAGTCAGACGTCGCCTACACCGGCAGGCAGATACCCCTGTCCCGCCCCCACCCCGGTGCCTGGGGTTCGGAGGTCGCAAATAGGAGCTCTGCACAGCGACTGGAGGAGAGGGAGCGGGGGTAAGATGGGAGAGAGAGAAGAGAGAGAGAGAGAGAGAGAGAGAGAGAGAGAGAGAGAGAGAGAGAGAGAGAGAGAGAGAGAGAGAGAGAGAGAGAGAGAGAGAGAGAGAGAGAGAGATAGGAGAGAAAGAGAAAATGGGAGAGGGAGAGGAAAAGCTCATTATCGCACCCCAGACGCCCTCGCCACTACAAAGACACCCCACATTGAGCTCACCTATAGAAAATGTTGTTCATTTGCTTCCTAATGTAGGAGCGCAGCCCGAGAAACTTGCCATAGATGCGGTGTAGCGTGGTTTTCAGAAAGTCTCGCTCTCGAGGGTCTTCCGAGTCGAACGAATCCAGCAGCTGTCAAACAGAAAAACAACAGTCGCAGTAGAGGGCGTGTCTGAGTGCGAGAACACGGCCGGCGAAATTAAATACGACTCCAAACACGATTTGAAGGTCGCGCTATGTTGAGCAAAAGAAATGGCGACAGTGTTGAGCAGGAGCACATCGAACCATCAAAACAACAAACAAATAGATATACGGAACAGAAACATCGTTAACGAAAAGCATGCTCAAGTCATAAAACGATTCACGTGAACAAAACACAATAACGGATTCACAGAGCCCATAAACGATAAGTATCAATGTTGCGCAGCTCACACCAACACTTAGCATCCGGGTGCAAATAACACATTTGCATAGCCTAAACAACAAATGCATACAACTTAGAACCCACAAAACGGGAGACCAGTTACGGCACCCTGCGGGCTCTTAGATCAGTACAAGTCTGAATCGCATCACATTTTAATAAATAGAGTTGCACTGCACTGTAAATAGATCCTCTCAGTGTGTACATTTGTCACAATTCGTCGCAGGCAGTCCGCATATAACAAGTAAACATTTGACTGTTTCATACCTGAAATCGGGACACCTGTGCAGTGTGCAGTACGACATGAGTTATAATGAATGGTGCATAAAACAATTATCGGCAAAACAGTACTTGCTGTGGACAGCGAAGCGGAACCCTGGATCCTCCCACGACTATCCTGTAGTACTCGCTCCACCATATCCCCCTTTCCTTCCCAGACGCGCTGTTGTGGGTACAGAGCTGCCTGCCTGTCTCTAACAGTGAGTCCGTGCGGTGCGGACGGGAGCGGCAACACAACACCAGACACCGACAAACAACTGACGCTGACGGGCAGTGGAGTGGGGAGAGGAGGGAGACGGAGAAAACGGGAGGAGAAGGAGGTGAGAGGAGAGGAGGCGGAGACAGGGGAGTGGTGGGCTAAGGACGATGGAGGAGGAGTGAGGTAGAGGAGGCGGAGGAAGTGGTCGAAGGTGATGGGGAGAGGGAGCGGATAAGGTGGGCGGAGGAATATATGGCAGAGGCAGAGGGGCGAGAGGAGCAGGAGACGGAGACGGGAGAAGCCGGTGGTGGGGGCGGGGGCAGGAGGAGGGGTGGTGGATAGAGGGAGGCGGATGGTGGCCGTCCGAAACGCGGGTGGTTGTGTAGTGGCAACGGTGAGAGGTGATGGTATTCACCGATACCGAAATTAATAGAGGTCGCCCTGTGAAGGTAATAAGCAAACAGGACACTGAACAGCCACATCAAAGCTGGCTGATTACCAGCATATGCGATGTCGTGTTAAATGCAATGTTGTGAACTCGCCAAACAAACACATTACATAATCCATCCGCGTTCAGGATTATGTGTTTAGAAGTAAATCGACCCTCGTCAATCAGTTAGAGAATAAACTTCAGATTAAAGAAGCTAAATTTCATCGCATAACACAGCGAGACCCAAGCTTGTCCAATGAAAGATTTCTATCAATCAAATAAGAAATACCAAATGCCTACCGCAATAAACGTTACATAAAGGGAGGAACAAAACGTGAGCCAATCGATGACGCCTTATTGCAAAATGAGGGATTTTGTGCCGGATTGGGAGCCTCCGGGACCTGCCTGGGCTCGAGATTACCGCAGCCCGGGAAAGGTCACCGCCGTGGCAGCCAATAACAGCAGAAAGAGATTCTCAGCTCGTGGATTTCAATACCAACTGTCGCATAAATGTCAATAGCAGCCAGCTAAATGGAGCATCAATTTCCCTTTCCTGGCTCAAAGCCCGCTGGTCCTCTCAACTCCCAAACGAGCAAATGCATTGCGCTGCTCCTAATGGTATGGAGAGGAATTTCCATTAGACTGGCCGGATCCCGTGCAAATACGTAGACAGCTGCTACCTCTCGGACCACGTCCACCCACACGGCAGTGGGCCACGCTCCCCCGGAACCGCCGTCGACTAGTGTTGCTCCAGACCCGTACCCGGACATAGCAATTAGTGACCCCTCGCACGGTCACTTACGCTCTACGAGTACAACGTCACGGCGACATTTTCATTGGGAACCAGCCCGGATGTAGCGGCGCCATCCGCAGCCCACATTGCACACAATGTGCCGGATACGTAAATTATTCAATGTACACGGGTAGTTCACGGTTGCTTCACTTGCAGAGCAGCATTTGCATTCGAACGTTGAAAGTCTGCATCCATGGCATTTGCTTATTCAAGGTCCTTTATGCGTGGAAGAACTGTTCAAACTAATACTTCTCATTACCAATGCCTGTTGTCTTTGGCTAGCCAACGCATATCGTAACATCCGCATTCTCTAGTTTTCCTCTTTCGCCGTTTTCACAGTCGTCCCATGTTCCTCCTGCCCCACTCCAGACCCCAATTTCCTGTTTCCCGAACCACGTCCCAGTTCCCCTATCCTTCTAGCTTCCCTTATCCTCTCCGTTTCCCCCAGCTTCCCCGCTTCTGTGCAGGCCGTCACTCCCCGATTCCCTCCGCGCGGCCGAAGCCATCCAGGCCCGGCGGCCGGCCTGCATTGAGCGCAGATTGGCATCGATTGGATCGCCAGCTCGGCAGCCGGCCGCAGGCGGACAGGTGACAGGCGGACTCAGGCGGGCAGTTAAATAGACGGACAGACGGATTAGGGATATATGACCGACAGTAAAGGCGGACAAAGGCGGGTAGCTCAATAGGGCGACAGGCGGACAAACGTGAGACAGAGACAGGCGATGCAGTAGTCAGAAGTGTGGATACGCAGGCGGACGAGTGGATATTCGCAGAAGTGTGGATACCAGTGGATATTGGCAGGCAGGTAGATAGGCGGACAAATAAGCAAAATCAGAGGAGTGGACGGACAGCGGAAGCCTAGACGTGCGGACGGCGGGGGGGGGGGGGGACGGTCGGTCACTAAGAAGGCAGACGTGGGTGGAGGCGGGGCGGGGAGGCGGGAGGCAGGGCGGGGAAGCGGGGCGGTCACTAGGATGGCAGACGTGGGCAGTCAGGACAGACATGCAGCCCTCATTAGTGGGTACCAAGCACACAGGCCAGTGCCGGGAAGCGTATTGCCGGGAAGACAGTCCAGGGACGGGCCGACAGGCTAGTGCCGAGGAAGACGGGCCTGCGGCAGCGCAGTGCCGACCCACGCTGGTCAGTCAGCAGTAAGCTCAGACAGCTCCGTGGTGGTTTAGCTGTTAGGAGCGGCGACCAGGACAGGGACCACGCGCGAGCGATGGATGGCAAATGGTACGGGGATCGGCTTTTCCTGTTAACGACACGGCGTGACGCGTGCGATCATGAGTAATGATGTCTGCAGGACCAAGGCAAGTCATGGCATAACTTACGACCGATTGCAAAGAAATGAGTGAAAAATGAAATACCAAATGAAATGCTGACAAAATGAACAAGAGCTGCAGCCGACAAATCGCTGGATAAAACCAATATTCCGCGCCCGATGTCATGCGCACCGGGGACAATGGGACAAACTATGTCCGTCCCAGGAGGCCGCGCGGTGCTCTGTTCAAACTCCAGTCGGATTGGCTCCGAAGTTTCAGCTCGGTCTAATTGAATGAACAAGACTACGTGACCGCCTGACAATATGCGCCAACTGGCACACTCAGCCTGGCTTTTGGACAGGAAAGCTACGACATCCTAGTCTTGAAGCAGCTCAGCCAGAGCCCCCTATTAGACTAAAGCTTATAAGACATTGCACAAATACGCCACCTCTAGCTCAGGACGCTAAGACATCCGTCTGTAAGACAGTCGCACCTCGTCCCTCGAACTGGAATATCAGTAACCACTTATGTCAATCTCATCTCCTTCGCTGTCCTTTTTTCTCTTCCCTCTTTCTTTTCTCTCTCCGCTCTCGCTGTCGCTCTGGCGCTCTCATCTCTTTCTTTCCACATCATCCTCTCTCTCCCCGTCCTTGAACCGACAGCGAGCCTCAGCCTCACTCTGTCGTTCAGCACTCCCGTGTCACCACCGGCGCATCAGCCCATCCAGGTGCGACATCGCAGCCCAGTGACAATCCCGCCGAGTGTGCCGGCGCGCACCAATGCACCCGGCTGCGCCACAGAAGCCAGCCGGGGCGGCACGGCCGGCTGCGGTTTCCCTGACGTCATTAGTGGCACCGAACGCGTCGCCACGGCGCCAGTAATGCAGTAGCGCTCGCCGTATTCGGCACAGCGCGGGGCTCGCTGAAGAGGAAAAAGCCGAGCGGCGGCGGCTGACGTCAGCGCCTCTGGAGGCGCTCGGTGCTCACGGTCACGTGGCCAGAGAACAGGTGACAGCCTACAAAGATAACTGTAGAACCAACAATGTAAATAACGTACCAACTGTGATACGGACCAAGAGTGGCAACAATCTAATAAAAGACCAACTAATCCCTCCAAACGCACCTGAAAACGACATCGATCACGCATCGCAATTCACCACAGACCACAAGGCGCTACTCTCCGTCACCATCGCCCAATAGAAGTCCCCCTATCAGCCCATCCACCACCGCGAGTGCCAAACCAACATCGACGAATTTCACTTCACTACACCGGACTACACCCGGGTGTAGTCCGGGTGTACACCCGGGTGTAGTGGGTACCCACTTTCCGACGTGGCCTCACATCAGCTCACCTGCAGCACAAACTTCTGATCGATGTGGCGTTTGGCCACGTTGGGCTGGAAGTCTGGTGACTCGAGGAACCTCAGGAAGAACTCGTAGACGAGCTGCAGGTGGGGCCAGGCGGCCTCCAGGGTGGGTTCGTCCTCCTCCGGGTCAAACTCGGCGCCCGAGGGGTTGGAGGACGGCGGCAGCGTGCGAAACAGGTTCATCGCCACCTGCGGGTCAACAGGGGTCATCAGAAGTCAGCAAAGGTCAACAGGGGTCAGCAAAGGTCGACAGGGGTCAGCAGAGGTCAGCAGATGTCAATGTAGGTCAGACGCTCAGTCAACTGAGAACAGCCGGCCACAACATAGAGGTTCATCGTTGAAAAAAGGACATCACTTGTCGGTAGCGGTAGGTGGAGTTCGATCATATCGTGAAGTCAACGTGATAAGTGTATCATTATCACTACAAAAAGTCAGCTATTTCATGTTATAAGTCAAAACAAGAAAAGTATGAGAATCGTTAAGGGAAAACTACGGGCACACAAGAATATATATAGTAACTAATCTATTCTTAAATGGATCTTACAGCTGTATATCTCTAAAATCAGTCAGAAATAGAGTATACTTGGGCAGGTGAGATACAGTGATCACCAGCCTCCGTTGGGTGCACGTGGTCCGGCACGGTTCAACAATCGCCGGCGGCACGCAGGGTCCGGACCCTACGTTTCACAGTTCAGTGGCGCCAAGCCGAATCAGACGGGCCCATTGGGTCCGCCCCAGTCCGGCAGCACAGTTCACGGGGGTCAGTCCCAGATTAGCCGGGGTCCAGGAGAACCAGAAATGGCTCACTGTACGCAAAGCTCCAGGCGAGTCAGACGGGTAATGCAATTTGGTCCCCACTTAGGCGCATGTCTGTTACACCTAACTACCACCGGCGGGACGGTGCCGTGCAGCAATGGAGTCGGGTGGGCGGAGATGGCGGCTGATGGCAGGTCACACGACGAAACAATCACATAATGCGGTCAGGAGGGTCACAGCTGAAGCCAGCAGGTCCGGTGGCAGCTAAGGTGCTGGTCGGTTTAATGGCTAGCTTCGCATTGATCTTTACGGGGAACTGTATGCCGCGTCGAAAATACCAACGCGCTCATGACGAGCATGGTCTACTTTAGCGACAGTTGTCATGTCAATGGTCAGGTGAAGCCGTTGAGCCGACGGACCGTGCTATTTTATCTGTATACGCTGAAGGTCTCGAGTAGGTATACGTAGGCCGTTCAGCCTTCCCTTGCGGTAAAGAATCATGCGTCCGCGACGAACTAGCTTGAGGTGGTCCCTGAGATAACTTCATATAAAAATAATAAACAGTATATCCTGCACCGGTGACGACTCCCTTAACTGTACCACGACGACCTATAGGCCTCTCCAAAGCCACCACAACCCCACTTATCGCCTTTGGAGTCCACTTATGGGTCAATCTGTCACCGCCCCCGGGGCCGTCGGCCTTTAACAGGTGAGTGGGACGGCGCTGTATCTAAGGGGCCGCGGTGGCGCGTGGGAGTCTCATTTGTGCCAAGCTGTTAAAATAAACCCACTGATGAGTATCTGGCCAGCCCGAACAGCCTACCTGAAACGAGCTCATAGCAACTTAAGAGACATTTCGCAGAAAGGCATTATGTAATGTTGACTGTTGAGGTCTTCAAAGGGCAAAGACGGACATCGAACGCATTAGGATGGAGCGACAAAACTAAAAATAAAGAGAGCAACAGAGTCGCGGACGAGACAAACTAAAAATAAAGAGACGGAACCGGAGCCGGTCAATAAACAAATGCTAAATAAAGATACAGATATAGACCATAACATAGCAACTTGCAGGTAAATTAAAGGCGCTCAGGTAAGCTTAAGCTCAGGTAAGAAATATGATTAACCCGCGAGTTGCTGGGGGGGGGCGTTAAACGCCCCCACTTTTTTCGCCGGGCCATAGCATAAAAACGGCGCGCCGCAGGCGCGCCAAATTTAAGGTACCTGTAAGGAATTGATTGAAGTTTATTGTGACAAAGTTTCAAAAAAATCGGTCGGAAAATTTTTGAGATATCGAGGTTTTAGTGACGTCATGATTTCTGAGTTTTCGACCAAAAACGGCATATGTTCACAAAATCATATAAAATCACAGAATAGACATACAGACATGCCGTAAACGCCATTAGACTGCCAATACCATGATCAATCAAATGGCTATCTTCGATTATTGATTATCGTTCCGCATTTTCCATAATCTTGAACTGAATCTTGGCAATTTTTCGTGACTACTTCACGACCATGATACATGAATTTCTTAAATTGAACTTTTTGAGCCAAACACGTACACATATGATAAAATGAATGTCACCATCGTGTTCTACGCCCCAAATTACCTATAAAACATGTGTCACAGGCTGCGAATATCAGTTTTGATTTTCGGGGATATGTGCCTACCCGGTTGACCTGACCTTGACCCTGACCTATGCTTGACTGACCCCTACATGGAGCTGACACTCTTGTAGGCCTTATAAGATGGATTGTGCACCGTTTTGACAGAGTTTATGGCGAGAAGCGCCCATTGCGAAGTCCTGAAGTCCATGCTACTGAAAGCCCGATTTTAGGTGTTTGACCTGACCTTGACCCGACCCGTGACCTCAAAATTTAACTTTAAAGTACTCATCTGAAGCGTCTCGTCGCGCTCTTTCGTTTGCCGCCTCGTGCGTTTCGCTGCGCCTATTGGTTCTCGAGTTATCGGCTGGGGGCATTTAACGCCCCCCCCCCAGCAAACGGTGGGTGGCGAAATACCCCAGCAACTGCCGGGTTAAGGCAGCATATTAATTCCGCGTCGACGATAAAAAGAACAAATAGACTTGAAGCCGCCCACAGTAGCTGTCACTCACAACCAGCAGCACGGCACTCCCTCTGAGACCGGTGCCGACAGGCCATCCGGAGCCCGACACGAGCGCTGATGGCCGAACGTCCCGAGGGAGCGGACGGCCCACAAACGCTGCTGTCGGCCGACCGGAAGTCACTGCCACGTACCGATTCGGGGTCGTGGCATCGCCTCTAGAGCGATACAGTGTATCCTAGCGAGCAGTTGCATGCATGTAGGCTATGCATGCGTATTATGCCATTGTACTGCGAGGATCACATGACACAATCAACCACTGCGGGCTAAAAGTTTTCAGATCTCTACAGCGTCCTCCTACCTAGCCATAGAGACAGCTCCGAAACATAGAAACCAAATCTACCACCGTAAGGGGGCGAGTGTCACGGCACCGGTTAGCGGGCGCGGCGGCTGGCGATCCGGGTCGCTAGAACCTGACAGCCGACCAGGGTACGGTCGATAGGTCGCACCTGACCGCTCCAGCTCTCCGCGGAGAGAAAACGGCCGAGAGAGCGCAGCGGCAGGGGTCAGGCTGAGAGGAGCGTGTGAGAGGAGGCTGGTAAAGAGCGCACAATGGGAGGCATCATAGTCTGGCATGTTCTAGAGTCGTAGTTCCTATAATTCGCTCTTGGACGATATTTCACCTTGCACTTTGCTTTTTTATCTTACCGACTTTTTTAACTCTACAATTAAGCATTGTATGCTACACGGGGAATCGCATATCTATTATAATTGCCTCAAATAGTTGTGTCTTGGAACTTCGCTATCCTTCATTCCAACTCCCTCGGAAGATAAGTCCGACGGGAGTCCCCGTTCTTGGCGATTTAGCTTATATAGAGCAGTCGCTTATATAACACAATACAGTTGGTTTATTTCTAGGTACACTAGAGGGATCAGATGTTACCCACTTGCGTAAGCGAACAAAAAGGAACCAAAGCGCAACAACATGTGTGTTGTTTCAGTATATAAGCGTCGTTTCTAGTCTCAGTCGCAGTATCGTTGCTGTGATCACGTAAAACATTGGCTTTGAACGTCCCGCATAATCACGATCAACATACTCGTAAATATTGGACATTCATCAGCACAGGATTAAGCACTGAGCAGATTCAACATTAACATATTGCAAGCGTTTACTAGGCGATCTAACAAAAGCTTCAGAGCTCCAGGAAAACCAAACTATCCAGTCTAATATATGAAATAGTATGTAAACTACAAGTTCAGTGGTGATCTCATCATATAAAACAAAGTTGAACCGGGAAATCCTGGGATTATCAAAAATAGCGATAGATTTGAACGGAGAATGCAAAGTTGTGCTCTACTTTTCAAATCATGTGCTGGTATAGCCAGAACAGTCCAAATAAAGGAACGGTAAGAATATTCCCGAAGCTAATGATTACGTAGACTACCAGAAGCAGCGCATTCATGCACCGCGACACGTGTATGAGGCCCGGTTCACGTTTTCGATCACGTTTGTTGGACAGCTCACTCAACATTGCCGGGTTCAGTCCCAGACTGCATTTCCCGTTAGTTTGAGGCTATGGGGAAGCAAGCTATATATACTCGAACTGATAGGACAGATCCGCTTTATATCTAATGCATAACTACGAAAGATAAGTATGCGATATGCTGAGTTAGAAAATCGGCCAGTGTGTCAACTTCATACCAAATTAACATTATCTTTGTAAATGTAACCACTATCAAACCAAAACACTGCTAGCCTTCCCCAAATTACGCTGAACTGAAGACAAAGCAGCACCGGGGCTACAACCCAAATATAACCACAGCACCGATAGAGAGACATTTCACCATAACCAATTCTGAAACAGCCCCGGACACTGGGTAGCTTCTGGAAGCTTCCCAGGCGAGCACCTGACGTTCGGCGTAGCGACTCTATATCGGTCTGCATACCCTCAATTCTGCGCTATTGGTCTCAGGGGTTCGCCTACCCCCCTCCCTCTCCCCTACATTCAACATATGCACATTGGTCTGCATACACTCAGTTCGGCACCACCCGTCTCATGGGTACGGCTTGCTCCCCATCACTTACCATACATCGGTGTATATCGTACTCATATCGGTGTGCAATGTGCAATAAGTGCATACCCTCAGTTTTTCACCGCCCGTCTCAGGTCCAGCCCGCCGTCTCACGACGCCTACCGCCCACTCACCATCTGTACCACCTCCGGGTAGATGTTCTCCGTGATGACTCCGCGCTGTGTGGAGACGTACTCGATCATCTCCTGCAGCGCCAACCGCTTCACCTCCTTCCATTTGAGGTCGGACAGCGGGTCCGAGGCGAAGTCGAACAGCACGCAGCATTGCCGGATCTTCTGGATGAAGAGCTCCTCTCGTTCGCTGGCGGCTACCTCTGCGGAGCAGGGGTGAAATGGTCAGCAGAATGGAGGGGTGGAGGGCTAAACGGTGGGGCGTGAGCCGACAGGGGATCTATTCAGTGGCCGAATACATCAGTATTACATCACATGTGATGTAGTTACATAAAATGCTTCTCACTGCACAGGCTCATCGAGGCTAGCCTACTTTGGGCCGCAGTTTTTTTCACCCATGCGATATCATACTAGTAGGTAAAAAATTAGCATCCCTAAAGCTTAACCCGGCAGTTGCTGGGGTATTTCGCCACCCACCGTTTGCTGGGGGGGGGGGGGGCGTTAAACGCCCCCAGCCGATAACTCGAGAACCAATAGGCGCAGCGAAACGCACGAGGCGGCAAACGAAAGAACGTGACGAGACGCTTCAGATGAGTACTTAAAAGTTGAATTTTGAGGTCACAGGTCGGGTCAAGGTCAGGTCAAACACCTGAAATCGGGCTTTCAGTAGCATGGACTTCAGGACTTCGCAATGGGCGCCTCTCGTCATAAACTCTGTCAAAACGGTGCACAATCCATCATATAAGGCCTACAAGAGTGTCAGCTCCATGTAGGGGTCAGTCAAGCTAAGGTCAGGGTCAAGGTCAGGTCAACCGGGTAGGCACATATCCTCGAAAATCAAAACTGATATTCGCAGCCTGTGACACATGTTTAATGGGTAATTTGGGGCGTAGAACACGATGGTGACATTCATTTTATCATATGTGTACGTGTTTGGCTCAAAAAGTTCAATTTAAGAAATGCATGGATCATGGTCGTGAAGTAGTCACGATAAATTGCCAAGATTCAGTTCAAGATTTTGAAAAATGCGGAGCGATAATCAATAATCGAAGATAGCCATTTGAGTGTTCATGGTATTGGCAGTCTAATGGCGTTTACGGCATGTCTGTATGTGTGTTCTGTGATTTTATATGATTTTTTGAACATATGCCGTTTTTGGTCGAAAACTCAGAAATCATGACGTCACTAAAACCTCGATATCTCTAAAATTTTCCGACCGATTTTTTTAAAAAACTTTGTGACAATAAACTTCAATCAATTCCCTACAGGTACCCAAAATTTGGCGCGCCTGCGGCGCGCCGTTTTTATGCTATGGCCCGGCGAAAAAAGTGGGGGCGTTTAACGCCCCCCCCCCAGCAACTCACGGGTTAAAACAAGATCTACAGCCGGAAAAACAAGACTGAACCAAGCGTCACAACCCCGAGAAAACCCACACAGCATTTTTTGTTTATCCAAAACCTACATCAACCAACAAATCAAGAGGTCTGGGACTGAGGATACCCCGACTGCCCTGGGCCGCTGCAGCCGAGTGGCGTGGGGCGCTTCGGCAGACCGCCCGGCGCCCAGCCGCCCAGCCGCCGCTGCCGGCGCGGCGGGGTCCCACTGGCCGGGTAGGCTGTACCGCACGACACGCAGTCACGGCGGCACAGCCTACGCCGCAGGCGGCGGAGGCGGAACGGCACCCCAGGCGGCGATAGCTCATGTCTCAGGGACCGGCGCAGGGGTCATATCCTGGCTTATCAGTTTTGCGGCTAATTTCCGGCGATCGTTATCTGCCTAATGATATGACAATGAGAGATCTACAACGACTCGAGGCGAAGGGGGGCCGCAAAACATCAAGGCGAAAAGAACGCTCCCGCCGAATGAAGCAGCAGAAATACCCGGACATCCCAAGATATCACAGACCTAAGTAAACGCCGCTGTCGGGTTATCTATTCAAATGTCGCATTGCCATTTCAATCCTGCAGGAGCCATTAGAGCTGAATGAAACGGCCACCGGCGGAAACACCTATTCAAGCTGAAAGCAGAATGTAGCAATTACGTAGCTGAAATACATGCTCCATTAATTACTTACTAATTATAGGCAACAATTAGAGCCCAATGACAATCAGGAAAAGAAGAAATCAACGAGGGCAGGGCATGCGAGCAATGGCTACCTAAATTTAGGATTTTAGGGCTCCAGACTACAGCAGTCATCGGCGCAGAATATGATGCAACATAGTGCAAAGTTACAACGTACATACGACACAACGTCATTCAAACACACGCTATTTCAGCTAATAAGCACAATATGATTAGAATTTACGCCTACACTGCTTCCCATGTTGACAGTACATTTCCGTCTGGATTGAGCAAGATACATATCCTTAGTCAAGACATTTCTGTAAGCTGCTGAAGTCAAATCAAAACAGTGTGAATAGCAGACATGTGCATGGATCCGAGAGCTGGATCTATGATCTCAGTGGATCTCTCGACAAAATAGAGGGGTTGGATCTATGATCCGAGTGGATCTCTCGACAAAATTCAGGGGTTGGATCTATGATCCGAATGGATCTCTCGACAAAATATAGGGGTCGGATCTATGATCTCTGTGGATCCAGCGGGCAAAAATTTGTGGAGGACCTATGATCTGTATGGATCTCACGACAACATGTATCCAATGGAACCCTTATCCTACATAATTGTACACCTTACAGTGCAATACAATTGAGAATTATCACTTGTGGACATGGTTAAGACCACTTGTAATCATCAGGTATCATCATTAAATTTGAATTTAAATAAACAACATTTGTACTACATTTAAAATAAACCAAGAACATGCATATTGCTACTTTTTGTGACCAATTGTAACTTTTTCATGACAGCACTGATGACAATCTTATCAACAAGCTACAGCCACTTTAATTCAATGAACAAACAGTACAGACAGATGCAGTGGCAGCAGGGCACTGCAGATGTTCATTTTGGTCCCATTCTTTCCATGCAACGCCAGTAGGGCTAATGTTAAAATGCCAAAATCTATGGGGGCACTGTACCCTGGTGCCACCCCCCCCCCCCTGTTCTGCCGCATATGGACAGATTTAGGAAATCAAACCTGGAAGCCAAATAGGTCAGTTTTGTTAAAAATAATCCAGCAATGCACTTCTGCCAGGTATGAAATCCCAATCCAGAATGTTCGTATGAGCTATTAGTATGTGCAACACAATTTCGATTTAGTAAGAATAGCAACCAACCTCTAATACTTTCCTAATAAAATTACAAGTTCAAAAATGGCATCAACTTCTTCAGGTTACCTACTTTTGGCAACGTGCCACATGTGGTGCCCTGCCATGCTGTGCTTTTGTTATGAGAGAGGCTCCCAAAAAAAAGACAAACGAAATTCACAGCTCACGTTTTGGTAATATGGTTTTATTACGTCATAATCGTTTGACCAATGAAAAATCTTAATTTGACCAAAACCGTAATGATTCCAAAAGATTCCCCGTAATAGGCCCTTCAAACTAATGACGTAAGATATTGTGATTCTTTTGAAAAGTGAATAAAATAAAGATGCAAGGCGCACACCGCTCAATGCCATGTAATACCGTTACAGCTTACGTTTACGTCATTAAATCAACGCTACAAAGATGATATTTACAAACAATCGTATCGTAAAATTATGTGAGGCCGAAAAAATTAACATTCTTAAAAAAAAAACTCCAGACTTTTGAATTTCCAGTTTTATTTTTCATTTATTTTCATTATACTCGAAGGTAGAACGCCTAGCTCATTTGTTATTTGAAATGACGTCACGAGTTCTATTTAGATACTGAATAATCATTTTACGGCAAATATCCAAGGCCATTACAATTGATATTTCGCTTCCCATCGCTTCCGCAGGCTGTTGAATATTTTTATACTTTTGTTTATATCTCAGCTTATTTTATCAAATATTTCTTTCAATAGATTGAAATACCTTTACCTAACCAAGCCACATGTGTCAGCATCATCTTTTATTGTTTATCAATCAATTGTGTTAGCTGGAAACTGAAGCCTCAAGGTTGTCTAATGCAAGATTGTCTTATCAATATCATTTTGTAGATTCTAACATAAATTGTGATGTGGTAGGTACCTTTTGTTGTATTGTTCATTAGTTATTACTTTGACTTACCTCTATGTTAATTGTTAATGCAAACTTTTCTGTTGGTATGTGAACTGTGAACAATCTTCATGTCACTCAATTCTCTCAAGTTGTGACCGTCATGAGCCTCCTTTATTTTGTATTCTGTATAATGTAACTGGCTGCCTTTACTAATATGGCCTTTGTATAAGATTGTTTGTTTCTAACCATACTTTGGTATTCATAAGATAACTTCTTATGAAAGAAAGTTGTTAACATTTTGAGCACTTATGAGCTATGATCCCAATGGAGCTCACGACAAAATTGGGGAGCCAGATCTATGATCCGAGTGGATCTAGCGACAAAATTGAAGGGTCAGATCTATGATCCCAGTAGATCTCTCGACAAAATTGAGGGGTTGGATCTATGATCTGAATGGATCTCGGATCGGGATCCATGGGATCGGATCTCAGATCCATTTTTCCGGATCCAAGCACATGTCTGGTGAATAGCACATACGAACCGATGCGTTTTAAAATGTTTAAGTTTCCAAGCAAACACCAGCTGTGTTCACACCGCTCTCGGTCTGTAGCTGCCTGCATCAATTAAAATAGTTAGGTGCTGGCTGGACCACAAATAGAGAACTGACGTCGCTTGATATACTGTGTGAGCGAGGTGTTGATTGAAGGGAATCGTGGACACCAGGATCGCACGCTAAGGGATGTTGCACTAGCCCGGGACCCGCGCGGAGTTGTTATGTCAAATCGCCCTCAGCACCAGGCATGTTTACATCAGGCACAAAGCAAATATTTCCGACTTATCGACGAGCGCTCACACTCCCAGTGAAATGTTTTCGTAGTCTTTGAAGTAGCAGAGTTCAGACGAAGAAAAACAGCCGATACCTTACACATCCTCACTCAGCGGAGAGGGATACGATGTGTTCTCGACCCACTGTTCTTTGCGCCCTACCCGAATATTTTCATATCGCGACTCACTGAAAGATATCCCAGCCTGATGCCTGAAGCTACAGAACTACATTTCCGTATCTCCAGTTCCCGTATTTCCTAATCTCCAGCTGCATTTCACATGCCCGTTTGACTT